CGTCGTGTATCTCGGTAATAGGCCGACGACGATGGAAACGAAATCCATGCACTTTTTTGCAATCCGCCAGCTCGATTCGCTAGACATACGTGTCTTTTAGAAACGTTCTCCGAAATATTGTACAGAATGACAGCGAGAACGGATCGCGTTCCTCGCTTTAACGAAAACGATTGTAAGAGCGTTGTTAAATACATTTTGTCGATGTTTTCTTTTTGACAAATAAAGTAGAGTGTCGAGATTAATTGTTGTGGTAAATCGACCGTTAAAGTTTACTCGAGGAACAAATCCTAACACGGGATTCGTAGAAAAAATATTTCAAGCAGCGCGTATCGTAGAACATATATAGTGAATGGCAAAGATATGTATAGATATAAATATATATCACTGCCGTATAACACACATGTTGTACATAATTTATACAGGGTGATGCATGAAAAGTAGCCCGGTGCCTTCATCGTGTCTCTTTCTCCATATGTACGGCAATGAAAGTTTTATTAATAGTAAAAAAAAAGCAACAAATGACGAAGAAGAAACATTCTTGAATAAGATAATTTTCCAAATAAAAGACACACATATTTGTTATTCATTTATTATTGATAAAACTCTCGTCAACATTTCGACGCTCTAAAATCTGCTAAGACCTACCTATCTTTTCTCGCATCACCCCGTAAAATAGACGACCACTTTGCGGCGATTGTAATCGATTTTAGCTGTATTTTTCTGGCTTGGTCGAGATCTTGTTAGTCACAAGTTCACAGAGAAGTAAGCAAATACATCAAACGATATGTGCATGGAAAACAATAGTCTGTGTAACATACCTTGAATACCTTTAATCAGATGCAATTACCTTTCGTACGATTCCTTTTAATTGACACGTTTCTTCTTTTGATGTGTTTCTTCTTTTCTTTCCTTTTAGATTATAATTTTAGCTAGAATGTAAAAAAAAAAAAAAGATTAAGTTCATGGTTTAGAAAATTAGTTTCACCGTAAAAAGAACAAAGCTCGATTGTGTGGAGGAAAATATAAGCAATTGCTCGACCGAAACAAAAAACTTCTACAGTCGACAAAGCGCATGAAATATTGCTTTGCATAAATCGATTTGTTTCATCATTTGCATATAAAATTGTCGAGATAAGATTATCGAAAAATCGAGAGAGCTAATTTAGGAAATATAATATTTCATATATATACTTTAATACATTCGATTACATAAAATATTTCGTTAAGTATTCATCTTTTTATAATGTAATGCTTACCCGTTGTGTTTTGTCATTAAATATATGAAAACAATAATAATTTATATTATGATCTATCTACTTGAAAATTTCAAATATATCTTATTTCGTACGCGTATTCTATAGAAATATTTTTCTAGTGACACTAGTCGTCTAGTGACTATGTAGCAAACTTGCACAATCGCAGAATACATATGATAGAGAAATGAAACAACAAATCCAATGTGATGGACGCCATATTGCTGTTTTTTTTTATAGTCGGCGCGGGATTGGTTGATTTTTTTGGCGCGTAATTTGATACGAGCTTTAGCTTCTAGATTTTACACGAACAAAGTAGGTTGAGAGATATATTTTAATAATTATAATTATATTAATAATAGGTTGTTTCGTCTCATAAAACAAATCAAGGAATATAAAATTCTCACTAGTGGGAATTAAAAAAAAACGTATGATACTGCGTTTCATATCGAAATCCTCTTGAAGTTATACACGAAAGATATACATCCTTTTACCAAGCGCGCGTTTTGCGGTTAGTTAGTCCCAAAGTTCGCCACGGACGCGCCACATGTATTCCAGATTCGAGAAACGTATCTGAATCTGAATTCTGAATCTCAACGATATCCTGATCAGTCCTGACTGACCAGTCCTGTAATCGTGTGGCTTTCACCGCTAGTTACGAGCTGGTACGCGTGTGTTTGTGCGACCTGGTGATTCAAATGTGAAAAGGATCTCGTCGTATATCATACTATATACCGAGATCTAGCGCGGCCTGTCTGTCACATTCCGGGAATGTACGAAACGCGAATGATAATAAGGCTATCGACGGCGGATCTCATATTTATGGAGCGCACGCCGCGATAATACAATAATAAATCATCGTCGAACGGATGTAGGGAACGCCGACAGCAGCCACCGACTCGGAATTGGGCGTGTGTCGCGTATGAGAAGGCAATCACTTGAGCGAGCGCACGCGCGCGCGCGCGCGCACGCACGCACGCAACACATACACGGACACGACGGACACGCACGGTGGGCTTTTGACGGATCCGTGACTATTCGCCCTGCAATGGCGCCTGGCGACTCGCCTACTTTCTAAGCTCGCCGCGGTGAGAGGGGCCGCCGATCAGTCTCGCGTTCCACAAGCCGGATTGTCGGACTTATATGTGATCGTCGATAACGCTGTTTAGGAGGATTGGAATTCAGAAGAGTCCACGTCTCTAGAGTAGAGTTCCCTCTTTCTCTCTCTATCACCCGACGAATATATAATCGCGCGCGCATGCTGTTCTTCGCGGCGATGTATCAGCCTCGCGACAGGACGTCCCAGGAGTCCAGGATATCCGGAGAATGCGCGGCACCGCCTCGGAGCATTTCCTCGCGGATGTGATCCTTTCTTCAAGGCTCGTCCCTTCTCGCGCTATCCAGCCAACGATTCCGTGGCCTGTTCCGCTCCTCTACGCTCCGTTGTCGTCGGGACGACACAGCTGACACAGATCTCGCAGTTATGATTCGATCTTACGGATGTGCTGCGTCTCGTAGATCCCTCGCGGGGAATGTATGACACGCGGATTCATCTACGAAGGTGACTGGAAAAGTGCGCGCGACGATTCTCTCGACATCTCTCGATCGTTCAACGCCTAGATATTTAGGGATCGCTTCGTAGAACTGTACGAACTGTAACGTATTCCTTCGCGGTACGAATCCTCGTACAGCGATTTCGATTGCGTTGTTAAATGCAACGAGGAGGAGGAGGACGACGACGACGTGTCCCGTGGGCAACGACGCGGCGAATCATTTTTGAAAGAACTGTAGTCTCAGGATAGAGACAAGAACGAATCAAGCATGGGGAACTGTTTCAGCAACCCGACCGACGTGGAGAAGGAGAAGCCGGACAGGATCGGTAATCCCAGCATCGAGGCGGTCGCGTCGCAGGTTAATCCTGTGCCTACGCCACCGCCTGATCCCATAAGGCCGATCCCGCAGATCCCGGACACGGATATGTCGACCGCAAAGATATTCGTTGCTCTTTACGATTATGACGCTCGTACGGACGAAGATCTCAGCTTCAGGAAAGGAGAGCACTTGGAAATAATCAATGACACTCAGGGCGACTGGTGGCTCGCCAAAAGCAAAAGGACCAGGCAGGAGGGCTATATTCCCAGTAATTACGTCGCCAAACTCAAGTCGATCGAGGCAGAACCGTGAGTCTCGTTGTCGTCTTAATTAAATCGTTTTAGGCGATATTTTTTATCTCCGTGTAACACGGTGATAATTGAAACTAATACGCATGTTTGTGATAATAATACATGCAATGCGTTTAATATCTTATTACAAACAGGAACCCCCGAGTTTTATTGTACAGATCATAGGTGATTTTTATTTTGCAATTAATGTCTTTGAAAGTGTTCACTCGCGCACGCAGAGTAGAGTTGTTAGCAATTAAGAGGAAGGAGAGGGACAGATTCATAAATGTCATAATGCTAATTTGCATTTACAGATGGTATTTCAGGAAGATTAAGCGAATCGAGGCCGAGAAAAAATTGCTTCTACCGGAAAACGATCACGGCGCGTTTCTGATAAGAGACTCCGAGAGCCGGCACAACGATTACTCCCTTTCAGGTAACGTCATAGGACGGTAATAGAAACTACCGGTCGTGTCATAACGCGCGTCCAGTGCGATATCAAATAAATGAATAATGATTGGGACGGGAACGCGAAATGTAGCGCGCGATCTCTGCGAGAAAATTGCGAGGTCGTTATTTAAATCGCCGGAGTGGAATGATTGTTCGATGATCGATGATTGTTTGCATTCCAGTGCGCGATGGTGACACAGTAAAGCATTATCGTATCCGTCAATTGGACGAGGGTGGCTTCTTCATCGCCAGACGAACCACTTTCAGGAATCTACAGGATCTCGTGGAGCATTACAGCAAGGATGCGGACGGTCTATGCGTTAATCTGTGCAAGCCGTGTGTGCAAGTAAGTTTCAACAAGTGGCCGACACACGATCGAGAGCCTCCCGATGCAACATCGATGATAATTAACCGATAAATAATGATCGACGTGCTGTTTCTCGAGCGAGTTACGAGAATAGAGGAGGAGTTTAGACAGGACTCTGCGTTTAAAAACATCGTACATTCGGGTGTTGTAGCGATAGAGTTTCATTTATCGCCTAGTTAGGCAAATCTTTATTGACAAAGAAACTATGATCGCGACCGAATGCGCCGGCGAATTTATGATGTAACATTAAACGCGATTTCGTATGTTTCTACGAAAAGAATCGGCTTTGATTGGACGTTGAATTTCAATAACATTGAACGGGACGTCGAATCGATATTAGATAAGCCTTGATTAAAACGTACAACAAAAAAGAGCACACGATGCGACTTTAAATTGCGACTGAAACCTCTTTAACAATTGCACATATACACACCCAAATACACAAATTGGAGCGGAAATTAATCGAAATTTTTTATATATAAATCTCGATAAATTTTTTTTATTTATTTATTGCCTACTAACACTATATAAACTGTCTAAGCTCCAACATTTTTGCAAAAGCAACAATACGATCGATACTTGCTCGTGCCCCCCTCCCCCCACCCCCCTTTATGGTTGTGATAATCATAATCAAGTATATTATTACTCTTATTATTGATATTAAGATTGATATATTTTTTTGTCATTCTTTTTTATATTATTTTTCTATACTCTTTCATTATTGTTAGCGTTATTATTACTGATGCGCGATACTTGGAAATTACAAATTTAGAGATATAATACATTCTAAAGAAATATTTACAACATATCGATTATATCTGTGATTCTCGAAATCCTTATTCTTGGAAAATCGCGAGTAAATGAGACTTAATAACACGGCAAAAACGAGATATATTTTTAAATTTATATGCTGGAAAAAAAAAAATAAAGAGAGATATCAGAGATTTTTGAAGCACTTGATAAGCTAATTTACTTACAAAAGTTCGATGTCTGAATAGATTGTGTTTGTTTGTCTGTTTATTGCTTGCCCTTCCTCCCGGTGGATTTTCTTGGTAAATTGAATGTCCTAATATATGCCATAATACATCGTTTTTTGATTCTGTTCTTTTTCTCGACTTTTTAAAACGCTTCTCCATTTGATTGCGTCTGGCCTGTACATACAAGCACAAGCCCGTTCTATACGGGATTATGTTTCAGAAGCAGTAGATTGTCATTCACTTAGAGATATCTGATATCGTGTAAAAGCTCTCTGTACACATTTGATGTAATTTCATATATATTTACAACAAGTTATCACAATTCCATCAATTCACTTAGCATCCTAGAGACACCTCGCGAGAGGTGCAATGTATAGGTAAATATTCAGAATCAAGATTGGCAGCACACACGAAAGAAACGACGGCCTTTTCCTTCCAATGCGAAACGTCACTCTCTCGCCTGTGAATAACAATTTACATACACGAGATATTTTCTTATAAATACGTATATAATCAATCTCTCGCCGTACTGATGTAAAAGCAAGACTTGCGCTTGTCGGCTCCAACGTATGTGTGTGCTCGAAATCTATATCTATATACAGGATGTCCCAAAAGCGTTTCTGCATACGTGTCTCTTAATCGAGAGGCAAACGAGCATGCTATCACGTTTAGATTATACAGGATGTTCTGTAACGAAACCGGGAACTTTGTCAGCGTGTTTGAGAAATAATTTTAAGCAAACAAGTTCGTATACATCATGAATCGATTTGACTTTTATCAAGAATGGAAAATTTATTTTAATATGTCAAAGTTATATATTTTTATACTTGAATTTTGTAATAATTGATAATGCAGACAAACTTTTTTGTTTAGACTAATCTCCCGAATATGTCGATTTCGCTTTGAAACACCCTATATATATATATATATATATATACGTGTTTCTGCGATTCGCGTAAATCACAACATGCTTCTTTTCTTACAATTAGCTATACGACATATTTGAGACATTCTGCATAATATTATTATTATATTGTTCATTATTTCATTTTCATCTGTCTTCGTCTTTCTCTTTATTTCTCTAAAACGCATATCTCTTTATTGTTGGAACGATCTTGCGATCATATTAATCCATCCGGGATTGTGGGTGTTACTTAACACAATTGCAGGACACGGAGAGACGTAGGTTTGTATCCGCGAAGGCAGAAGAGTAAGCGTTAGTGCTCTTTTTTTTCTTTTTACAGTGTGCGTAGAATTATCCTTTATGCCTAGCATAGATTCTTTTCTTATCTAAAAAGGGGACGGAAAGACCGATAGAGCTCTCGCCACATTAAAAAACAGCCAATAAAACACAAATTTCTTCTACTTGCACAAAATCGAGTCTCGCGAGATCCCTATTCCGACGACGGCTGATTCCCGATTTGACTTTGTTCGACAGGTTGAGAAACCCGTAACGGAGGGCCTTAGTCACCGTACGCGGGACCAATGGGAGATTGATCGTTCGTCGTTGAAATTCCTGAGAAAATTGGGCCAGGGACAGTTTGGCGAGGTCTGGGAAGGTTTGTGGAACAACACCACACCGGTGGCGATAAAAACGCTCAAGCCGGGCACAATGGATCCAAAGGACTTCCTCGCTGAGGCACAGATCATGAAGAAGCTCCGACACGCCAAGTTGATTCAATTGTATGCCGTGTGCACGATGGAAGAGCCGATCTACATTATCACGGAATTGATGAGGAATGGCAGTTTACTGGAATACTTACAAGGTACGCAAGCACAAGGTACGCATGGTTTGGCTCCCTCATTGGCCTTTTTATTGTCTCTAACTAAATTGTGTTCTACACGAACAACAACAAATCAAGCTATACAAGCTCTTAAATTATAATTAAGGGAGTCTATGAAATGACGTTATTAAAAAATTATCGATGATTTTCAGCACCTTATTCTTTGAAAATATTCCTGTTAGAAAAGTCCGAATGTTTATTAAAGCGCTTTAAACTTTGAAAAGCACTGTTTCTAAAGAGAACAAATCTATTTTTCAATCGTTTAATATAATGCATATTTTCTCATTAATTTTGCAAAGAGTCATCCCGAAATATTGCTGCAAAATCAATAAAGCTAATATTTGTATAATCATATCTTTCCGTTGGATTATTGTTATAGCGCAATTATGTACAATTTTTTGCACGCTTTCCTATCAAGTGGACCGCGCCTGAGGCCGCCAACTACAGCAAATTTAGTATTAAATCCGACGTATGGTCGTTTGGTATTCTCCTTACTGAATTGGTCACGTACGGTAGAATACCTTATCCAGGTAAGTCCTGTACTCTAAGCTTATTCTTTCTTTATATGTTCTTAATAAAAAGTTGCATAACGTAAATAAATTCATATAAAGAATTAAGCTTAAAGTTTTATTAATTTAAAAGAGCAAATGGAGAATGTGAATCTTATTTCTCAGGCTTAGTGATATTCAGTTTTGCTATAAGGAATTCACGTCCTTTTTGCAATTCATTCCTCAATTTTCGATTAAAGTAATTTGGCATCATGAGGTAGAATTAATAAAATGTAAACGCGTTTTTCTTTTCAGGTATGACAAACGCTGAAGTTCTTCACCAGGTGGAGCACGGCTATAGAATGCCGAATCCACCCAATTGCCCCGAGACGCTTTACAATATCATGTTGGAATGTTGGAACAAAGATCCTATGAAGAGACCGACATTTGAGACACTTCAGTGGAAACTCGAAGACTTCTTCACTATGGAGGGTTCCGAATACAAGGAAGCGTCTGCGTATTAAGTAATGGATATTTCTCTTCGTAAAAACGATTCTTCCTTCACATTACTCTATTGAAAGATGCAATCGATGTTGTTATATCGATGGCGGTCATTACGATTTTCTTCATTGATCTATATATGCAAGTTTTCACGGTACTTCTGGAAGAGTACCGCGACCTTTATACTCGAACGATCATGATCATTTCGCGGACGATGGTGATAGTATAATTTTATTTAATGATAGGTTTTTCTCCTTTTCTCTCCATCTTCCACGATTTTCTTTCTTTTTCTCCTTTTTTTACATTCTCGTCTTCGCACATTGTATCTGCCATAAAGCTCGAAGATTGATATTTGTACATTTTTACTTATATGACTTGACAAACGTATATATTGGCATTTTGATATGCTCTATCGTCGCGCGGCGACGAGGTTTTAGATATCGTTTTAGACCGCAGTAAGAATGTTATACACACATAGACGTTAAATGGCCTTTGTAAAATCGTTTATAAGTGTCAGTTAATGTGAGGTAGTGACCTCGACCATTCGTAGGTATGACAATTCCAGATGATGATGCCGCGCGATCGGCAATAATAGCGATGTAATATATTCGTGTGTACGATATTAATATTGTATTTCCCTTATTACAATTCCCGTACGCATTACGTAAGCGACGATCAAGAGAGTCAATCCTTCGATAAAACTGTACTACCGACAATGTTAAAAGGACAAAACGACGGACCACGGATGCACAACTTTATCATTCCTTCTCGTTCGAGCGTAACGACTCGGAATTCATTACGACGAACTCTCGGGAGATATATATACGAAAGTTTCGCCGACGAACGATCTTGCGCATGCAGTTTGCATGTGTACGCGAAGATTGAGGATTTATTAACCGGTCCGTCCAAGAGAATGCGGAAGACTGTTGTGTCCTTGCGGCGACTGCGTTGAACGACGTTATACCCTTTCGTCTATTTGTCGCGAAACCATTAGTACTGACTCAGCTAACTGCCAGCTAACGTTTTCTAAGGTACACTTGTTACTTGTAACATATAAGATCACCTTCCGCAAGTATACACGAGAGTGTACGCATCTACGAATGCACACTCAAATATCTGTGTATCGGGGATGTTTGCATCTGAAAACGTGGAGAATCAGTATATCGTCGAATATTTTTTAAGTATTCCAAAAAAGAATGTATTTACATCACATTATTAATCTTTTGCGGAGTCTCAAGCCGAGATATTCCCGGCACACGCGCAAGTCACTCGTTTGAAAATGTAATGCAATTCCATCTATCTTATCGCGCACGCATCGGATTGATCAGAACCACATTAAATGCTTGAATGACAATTGTCTTTATATAAGAAATAAACATAGTTTATCTTATCACAGATAGTTTACGCAAAAAGGTGAGATTTTTTCGGATTTACATATATCATTCATTTGCTTTTTCAATATCAAAAAATATATTAGATATTTTACACATTTATTTATTAAATATTATATATTATAATTAAATATATATTTACTATTTATTCATTAATTTTTGTACATTAAAAACTAGCTAGCTGCACATCATATGAATATAATCAGACCAATGGAAGATTGTCATATCAATCGGCTTGAGACCGCAAAGAGTTAATCATTATTTGGTTATACATTCATGTGTGTTATCTCGAATTTATCATTTTTATATATTTTTATAAATCGTGTTTAAGCGTTTTATTATACTCATTTGTCGCGTGATTTTTCACGTTAGCGAGTACGTGACTCGAATAATTGAAAATAGTTATTATGCGGATAAAAATAAGTGGATAAAATTAAATATACTTCATAAATGTATGCATTCATAACGGTAAATGATGTAAAATTATATATAGATATTTTAGCAATATGTTACTCTCTTTTAATACATATGCGCGCACGTGCGCGCTCCACACACACATACACATACACACACATGCAAAAATATGTATGGAATGTGCCAAAAAACCATCGCCATTCCTTTTGCCTATCGATTCTACGACGAATTTCGAGTCGACTTTTATTGCAATAAAAATTTTATTGTAAAGACTTTTCTTTACGATTAAAAAATTTGTTCCATTAACTTCGTTTTAAGAAATAAAGTGTCAAAATAATATTACGCTAATAAGAAAAAATTCTAGAACTACTCTAGAAAAGTCGACTCTAATTTCGTCAGAGAATATGCCTCGGAGATTTGATGCACAGATCTCTTACTGAACACTATACACATGCATCTTCTGTTCTGAAGAAGTCAGAGCTGTGTTAATAGTACCAAATTGATCGTGAATTTCAAAGAGGTGTGCTCACAGGCGATATCATTAATCATACGATAAATTTTTATAATATTGTTATCACTTTGTGTAATGATCAATTTTCTCGTAGAAAATACGATTTCCTTCAGTAAGTACTATCCTCAGTTGTAGAAAAAAACATTTAAAATTAGTAAAAGAAAAAATACGTTATTTGTAAGAAAACAGATTCAAGCAAGTTATTGTTCATTTTGAGAAATTTGCAAATATCGCCAAACTGTATGCAGAAAATTATCAAGAATTATCATTTATGATAGCACTATAGTAAGAATTAATTAAGATAAAGAGACTATATATAATTAAGAAATGTAATGCAACGATTACAAGCACAAAACGGATGAAAGTTTACTGGAGCTATTTGTTAATCTTTATCCGGGCAAAGTTTTTTTCTATAATATTGGAAGGATAGAGAGGTGCGATTTCCTTTCGAATAATTATGTATAATAGAAATCTGTGGCGAGTGAAGATAAAATTACGTTAGATGTATAAGAGAAATAATCGACAAAATAAACGGAACAGTTTTGTTTACGAAAATGAAATTATTCGAATACCGACTGTCAGATATCGGCGAAACTTGTATAAGATAAGGATTATTTCAGATAACAGTTTATATATCAGATATCTCATTTTAACGAAAACAGCTGAAAATTTTTCGTATATAAATTTGATATTCTACACAAAAACTGGATTGGAGAAAAATTTTATAAAAGTTCATCAACATCAATATTATTTGTAGACAACTTGAATAGAGCTTTCACATTTCAATTTAAAAAAATATCTTGTACAAACATCTTTTGTGCTAAAAATTTCAATTAAAGAAACATTTTTTGTAGGATATTAATTTATGTTTTTATTAGAATGAGATACTATATATATATATATAAAACTTTTTGGCAAAGGAGACTATTTTCAATTTTTGATTCCAGCAAAATTTGGGACGCGTTTAATCGTCAAATAATAATTAATTTTTTTTTTTTTTTTTTTTTTTTTTACAGGAGAATAAAATATGAAAAAGATTTCTCTCTCTCGTAGCAACACGAACGAAGAGAGCGGAATTCTTGTAGAAGTCCGGACATGGCTGCTCTAGTGTCTCACACACGAGGACATTCACTAGACATACATGTAAAATCACCAGACCTGCAGGCGCGCGTCGGCGACAGGTGTCTCCTGCTGTACACAGGTGTGCTGTTCAGTCGGCCAGTGGTGGTCAGCGGCGCGCATTCGTGCGTGCGTGCGTGCGTGCATGCCTAGCGTGCGTGCATGCTTGCGTGCATGCGTGCGTGCTCCGTTCCGTTCCGTTCCGTGCCGTGCTATTCGTGCCGCGAGAAAACTCACCTCCTCCTATCTTTCGCGAGACGCGGGTTCCGTTCCGTTTCTTTCGCGGGCGAGGTGAGACTTTTCCCCGCGAGAAAGTTACGGGAAAAGAAAAACGCGGCCTGACGCCGCGTATGTGTCGGAGCTGTGTGTGAATAATGACTCGGCCAAGGCGCAAAGTCATCGACTCGGGAATACCGAGGTGCTGAGGAGAAGTGAGTGAGACTCGTCTCTCTCTCTCGTTCTTTTTCTCCCTCGTTTTCTTTATAATATCACGCCGTTTTCGGATAAAAGCTGGAATTTTTACACGCGCACGCCCAATCGATCGGAGAGGATCATGGATCCGTGTTGCGGTGGGATATTATGTTAATCATCTTTACGGTCACACACAGAATGCGGGAGGAAGAGCTCGAGATATCACTCAAGGTAATCGCGGGACTCAACCGTGGTCTGTTCTATTTCCTTTCAGTTTTCAGCCATATCGCTCTCTTCGTTGCATTTCTTCATTCTACTCTTCGTTCCTTTCCACTTTTGAATCCACCAGCCTATGTATTTCTATTTTATTCCATGTGTAGAAAGTGTAACGAGAGGAGGCCGGCGCGAATTCCTAAAAAAGGAACGGACGCATTTTTATATAATTCATCGTGATTTTCCATCGGCGAGAAAAGCGGCTCTTCGTTATAGCATGTCGTTGCGTTACGAAGAGTTATTACTTGATTCCACGGCGAGGCCACAAGTTCGCCGATCGCGCCGGATCGGCCGCGCCGCATTTTTTACTTCACCTTCTCTTAAAACGTCCGGTCCTCGTCTAACGATGAGTAATTCGTTTCACTCGAATATTCACTTTCGGCAAATAGGTGTAGTAGACTTTCGACGAGATGACCTTCAATATACGAATCCCTCGAACGATTTAAAGATGATTTCGCAAGGAGAGACTGGAATGGAATTTTGAAAATCTAGAATAAAAAGAAAGAGAAAGATATCTGTTGAAACATATCTGTAAACGTCATTGTATAATTGTTTTATTATTTTTAATTTATTATAAGAAGAGAAAATTAATTCAATTTCCTGAATTATTTTATCCATGACATATGTATATGATCACGGGCGAATGAAATTATTAATGATATTTATACGCAAATTTATTCTCGCAAAATCTATTTATTTAATCTTCTCTTCGCTATACAAAATTTGCCGACATGAGCGAAGAATGTAAAACGCTCGCAACCCCACCGGAAATCGACTCGATAAGCCTCGCACGCGATTAGCACGCGAGTTACAATCGGGTGCCGTGGCTGATCGATTGCAGAGATTCGAGAATTATATATATGTATACATAATTGAGATACGGGATACAACAACAGCGTAAAACTCGATGTAATTTTGAGACTGAGCTTCCAGTTTAAAGCATGAATATAAAATTTAATAAAGAAAAAAAACATAGAATCAATTTTCTATTTGCAGGCATTTGCGTGGCATTCATGTACGCTCTTGCATCTAACTATTCAATCGCACAGGTGTGCTAAAGTAGTATGAATAGAAAAAGAGAGAAGAGAAATAGGGAAGCGCGCGCATATAGGATCTCTCGCGCATACGAGCTTGGTGCTGCTCCAGTGATCTCTGCTTATCTTTCGATTGCCGGTAACGGTACCTGCTCGTGTTTTCATCGCGCTGGTCACCGGAGAGACTACATGCTTACGCCTTTTTTTTTATTAATATTTTATTTATATACGGTGTCCCGGAATTACCGAAATACCGTTCTTTCTCCGTAAAAAATATCGAGGATGATGTCATCATCTTTCACAATTTTTCAATTTTTAACATTATATATATTTTTGCAATCGAGTGTTAAATTAAGATGTCATTCAATCGTTATTTATGTTACGTTTATCTAATTTACGGTTCATTTCTGATTAAGTTATCACATGGTATTTCGAATTGTACACTATTGTTCCGGAACACCCCATACTTTCTTCATATTTCCGCGGTATATTACCGGATTCCAATCGAACGAGGAGCGCGGTATGATGGTCCGTGGTTTATGGCTATATCGGAACGATTAAATCAGGATGAAGGATGATATTGATGCGAAATATTCTAGTGTGCCTTATATAGTCATTAATTTCAGCGCATCGACGTTCGACTTCAATATATACTCTCGTACACACACGAGCATTCCTGAGATACTCTATATCGTGATGCGGGCCATACATGTCATTTTGAATTTTAAGTCCTAAATCACATGCTCGCAGAAGCCAGGAGATCGTTTTCGGCGACCGGTTTTTTTTTATGGGCTTACATCTTTATCGATGTAACCCACTTCCCTTACGCGACATGCCGTATAGACGGTATTTGGCGAAATTATTTGGGTCACATTTCTCATCGATCGTCAATCTGCAAGAAGCGAATTTATTGAGAATAACTCGGCATTAATTTTTTGCCAAATTAAATTTTCAATCTTTGGAATATTAATTGAATGATCATTTCTATCATTCTCAATGCCTATTAATCCATTTACTTTGAGGACAAATTAAAATTGCATTAAGATTCTTACTTAAATTTAAAATAATCCTTGCCATGATTATTGATATTCTTCTCTCCAGGTATATTCTCCGCTAATAAAAAATATTTAATATTTTTCTCATTTAGGTGGTGATAGTGGGCAACGGCGCCGTGGGGAAGTCGTCGATGATTCAAAGATTCTGCAAAGGTACATACACGAGGGACTATAAGAAGACGATCGGCGTAGACTTCCTGGAGCGTGAGATCGAGTAAGTAATCGCTCGTGCGTTGCGTGTCGAATCATTTTAATTGAAAATTACTTGACTTAACAAGCTTGACATTCGGAACAAAAAGTGGACTAAAATTTTAATCTACAATGTTGTATTAAGTTATTATTAATTATAAATTTTCGAGACCCAACGGAGATCATTGAGAAAATTTCGAGAAAAAAGAAAATAACGAAAGAATATTTGTGACATTTAGAGCGCAAAAAAAAATCTAAAAGCAGACATTTCTCGAATATTTTCAAAAATATTTTTAAACACAATCGTGGATGTGCTATAGTACAAATGAAATCGATTCGAATATTATACCAATTTGATTATTAACTGTCGATCATCATACTGCTACTTACATGTATACGATTTCGAGACGCGACGCGCCTGAGAAAAACCCGATTTTAATCATGCCAGCGCGAGCTACCGTGGGATACTTCTCGCATCCCCCTCCGAATATTCAACGATGTAATGTCGGTCAATGTAGAAGGAAATTTTTGTTTCGTTGAATATGTGTGTGCGATCCATCTTTTAATATCCATCATATCAATCACTTTTTGCATTCCTAGGGATCAAATAATTCGCAGTAACGGTTTGGAAAATAATTCATAAAAAAATTATATATGTATATATAGGATTAAAATTAGAAATATAAATCAAGATTATTTAAAATTGAAATGAATTAGATTAGAAATATAAATTAAGATTAATTAGGATTAAAATTAACATTTTATAAACTTTGCGTTATAATGACATCTTTTAATCGACGACTTTAAAAATCTTTTTAAAGTCGTCGATTAAACGATTTCTCGCGATATCGATTGCTTTAATAACATATGGATAATAAGTATGTAAATAAATATTTTGTGCTAACATATACAGGGTCGACGGCGAGGATGTAAGATTAATGCTGTGGGATACCGCAGGACAGGAGGAATTTGACGCTATCACAGCGGCTTACTATCGCGGCGCTCATGCCTGTGTCCTCGCTTATTCGGCCACCGACAGGGATTCCTTCGATGCTATTCCGTCGTGGAAACTCAAAGTGCGAGTCTATAAGAATAAGCTTCATTCGATTCTAATTCTTCATCTTTAGCTCTTCCTGAAATTTAATTTGCGAGAACATCAAAATTAATAAATAAAAGTTCATAAAAAATTGAAAGAATTACTTAATACACACAATCGAATCTTGAGGCACTCCGTATAATCTTTCTAAAATTTTCTTTTACAGGTAGAAAATGAATGTGGAGAAATTCCCACGGTCCTGGTGCAAAATAAGATCGACCTTGTGGAACAATGCGTGGTTGATCCGTGAGTAATTTCAATCAAATTTCTTGGAAAAAAAACGTAAATTTGTATCTATAAAACGAAAACCACTTGGTATATATTATAGGGACGAAGCTGACAGGCTCGGCCGCGCCTTAGGCTGCAAACTCTTACGGACGTCCGTGAAAGAGGATATCGGCGTGATGAGCGTCTTCCGGCACTTGGCATCGCGGTGTCTGCACGAGATGCGTCGCTCCGACGACGACTATCAGGACGACCTGAGATTGTACTCTGCGGAACCGAGATCGCCTTCCGTCATTAGTACGAGTAGTTTAATTGCGCTTGTAAAAGTCCGTAATATTCATTTGTAATGTGGATGACGTTGCATCTTTTCTTGCTTACAGGTGCGTTCAGTCCGGACGGATCAATGTGTGGCCGTAATGCCGGTAATGGAACGATAATCCTCCGACCGGGCGGTAAAACGAAGAGTCATAAAAAACGAAATTTCGTGAAGAATGCTTGTAGACTCTTGTAGCTATTTTCTCTATAGTATACGCACGTACGTATATGATACAATATTACATTGCGCTCACAAAATATCGCACGGAGGTGTATACGTGATATGTGTGCCTTGTAAATATATATAGTTTATTCTGGTAAGCGAAACAGGGATGAGTGATTTTACAGTGTCCAACAGTGCAAAAGCTCGTCAAATTTTTAACTAATGGCCTATGGTAAAAGTTACAACTGTAAAGGATACATAGTATGCATATCACATTTGATGGGAACTTCTTAATTTATATGCGATAGAAATAATTATACTCAAATGTTAACCAAATAGTGTAGATTACAAGATACAGAAAAAAAAAACTAATCGCAGACATTAAGTACAACTCTATGCGCATTCGCCACTGCGAATGGGAATACGTAATTTTGTAAATTTCTCTCGCCATATATTATCATATTAAATAAAAATTATCATTATATTTTTTTAAATTATACTGCATTCAAAGTTCTAACTGTGAAGTCAGGGTTACAATGCCAATATTAATAGAATATTAATGATAATAATATTAT